TTTTAGATAGTTTTAGAAGTTGTTATTTATAGTTTTATTTATTTATTTTGGGGGGTTGAGGGGGAGGGGTATATCAATGGCTTTATGGTTACCTTCACAACATCTAGTCCACCAGAAACAACCCAACATCCATCAGGAGTGAATCTAATGGTACTAATTCCTCGAGTGTGGCCCTTGGATGTGTGGATGCATCCCTTCTTTCTAATGTCCCAGATCTTTAGATTAGCATTCACAAGAACCAGATGCAAAGAACTAACCAAATGGATGGAATTCAATGGCAGTGCAATTAATTCTATGTCCAGTAAGGGTGCGAGCGACTACACTTCAACAAGAATCATAAAACAAATTAGAAAATGCCAAAAATTCTCTAAATACAAGCTTTAGTTTAAAAAGTAAAGGAATTGCTATGTGAAGGTCCTAATCAACAAAATTAATGAGTCAGACTTGGGATGCAAGCAATTAACCAAGCCCAACTGAGACCAAACAACAGGATTATTTTCAGGTGCTTCCTTGAGTCATTAACTTATGCATTCCATTACAGTGCATGTGTTGTGAGTTCCAATTTTCAGGTGCCATATCTTGGTACTTAAACTATTTAACAAGTTGTGCCACCAACTGTTTAGCAAGTGTTCTTCAACTTAAAACAATCAATGAAGTGAAAAGAATATTACTTGCTCTTTGCTTCCTCCAAATCCCACAGCTTTATTGCACCAGTAGAAGCTCCTGTAACCACCAAAACCTCTGTTGAATCAAAAGCTACACATTCAACTGGACTTGTGTGACCAGACATGCTCTGCATATTTACACAAAAAAAGAAGAGTGATATCCTGTCACAGCACATAATGGTGTACCTAAACGTTGGGTCTCCTTGCCAAATTAGATAAAGTTGCAGACAATGAGAAGTTATAGGACTAACATTAACATGCAATTAAAAAGAAAAAATAAGTGGAGCTGATAAGAAAAAAGCAAAAGAAAATAAGTGGCAAGTTTTAGTCCATGAAAGAATTATCCTTTGGCTAATTAAACCGTGTCTATTTCAAGTCGGTTCGATAGAACCAAAACTACAAAGCAAGATATATAAAAGAAATGAAAGCCACCTTGCTAAACCAAGTAATATTCTCTTCGTGTTAAAATCTTAACTAACACAAACCCGAAGTTTAGACAAAGGCATCTGGCGTGGTTACGAAAGCCAAAAACAAAGAGAAGTCATGGGGTGGATTTAAGAGCTCTGCCTCTAAAAGCAAGACTTGATTCAGAGAGTCTGTTTCTGTTGAGGATCGAACCAGATGGGGGGCCCACATTAGGATGACTTAACACATAGTGGTAATGTGGCAATTGATACAGCATGAGACCATTAGAAACAATCGAGACAACCATGTCTCACCATCGCATCTTTTTGTTATGAATTCTATTATGATTTTCTTCCTGCTGTTTTTACTTTTTCAGACATCGTTGTAACAGCCATCGGCCTATTTAAACACCTGTGGATTACCTTAAGAATCATCGATCATTATCTTAACATTCCCGGTTTCCTTCTATAGGATAGCCGTGCTCTGTCACCATAGCTCGGGGGAATGCTGCCCCCCTCTCAGCTCGCCAGTGAGAGGAGGTTTGCAGCATTCTGGTATCAGACCAGGTTGGACCTCTTCGGACGATAATGGCAGATGTTGATGAAAGGTTGAGCAGTGTTGAGAGGAGACAGGATGAGATGCAACACACCCTGACTGAAATACTGGAAAGGCTGAATCAATTACCACCTACAATCGGAGGGAGAGAAGAAAACAGCCGCCGACCATACCATGCTGGTACCAGCTCTCAGGGAGCAGAAGGAGGACCAGGTGTCCCATGGGAGCCTGGTGGGGTTACAGAGAACAGTGAAGCTGGATCTTCCGAAGTTTAATGGAAGAAACCTCAATGGCTGGCTGCTGTTGATCCGGCAATACCTGGAGTTGAACGAAATTCCTGAAGAATATTGGATCTCAGTCTCTAGTCTAGGATTCGAAGGAGCTGTGGTAGAATGGTATGGATGGTTCAAGGATTACTACCCATACCCAACCATGCAGGGAAGTTGGCCAAACTCACCCAGACAACTACAATTTGGGAATATCAGGAAGAATTCCAGAGGACCTGTAGCAGAGTGAAGGGGTTAACCGAGGAGTTTTTGGTGGGATGCTATACTGCCGGGTTGAAACCTGAGATCAGGATAGGGGTCGAAAAGCTTCAACCCACTTCCCTAGCCCGGGCCTTCCGGCTGGCCCAGCTTGAAGAAGAAGAGTTTAACATAAGGAAAAGGGCGATGTGACAGGAGTTTCAGAGACCCAGGCCTCAACCGACAGGCCAACCAGTTAACAAACTACTACCGGAGATTCGCCGTTTGACACCCACCCAGGCTAGAGAACGACGAGAGAAGGGGCTATGTTATTATTGCGATGATAAGTTTGTTTCTGGACATCGTTGCAAGTCACCGAAGCTGTACCTCATTGACACGACCTTGGAGGAAGAAGATGTAGGGATTGTTGAAGAAACTAAGGAAGACGATGAGGAAACTCCTGAAATCTCACTTCATGCTGTCGTTGGATTCAACTCACCCCAACCCATAAGGGTTTAGGGTTGGGTAAACTAGCAGCCAGTATCCATATTGATTGATACGGGATTAACCCATAACTTCCTAGATCCCCGGGTAGTAGAACAAGCTAGGGTACCAATATCTACAGAAACCCAATTCAATGTGTTGAGAAAGTTTAGACAAGGGTGTTTTTAGTCTTTACCTCTTCTCTTTGTACTCTTTTTGTATTTTGGTGCCCAAGTAAGGACCTCTTTGTAATTTCTTGTTTCAAAATATAAAACGCTTTTTGAGGGTGTGAACAGTAACAAAAACACACCATTCGACACATTCCTCTCTTCTTCTCCTTTCTCTCTTTCTTTCTTCCTTTCTCATACAAACCCTAGATTTACAATACTAGTTGACAACTTGGCATCAGAGCAAGGTTAAGGCACTTGGGAATACCTTTCTTGCTGACTCTCTTGCATGAGATGAACTGCTGACGTCAGACCACCGTCGGATGACGTTAGCAGTCCGTACAGGTGTCGGTAGCAATACATGAATCATATATGGTTTGATTCGTCCTGATTTTAGAAGATTTTTGGAATGGCTCTTGTCTTCATTCGAAACTTCTATATATAATTTTTAATAGATTTTTCAAGCAAAAAAAACGCAAAAAATCCAGATCTGATGTCAAGCCTTATATACTTTGTTTAATCAATTTTTCTGTTGCAAAACCTAGACCATTCAGGTCGTTTTTTACCTTGGGAGCAACGGGAAGTGGTCCCGTATTTTTCTAAGCCCTAGACAATTTTTGGGAGATTTTCTTCTCCCTCTATTTTGGTGCCAACTTAGTTTTTTGGCCCTTTTTTGCTTCTTAACCGTGTGGTGGCCTAGTTTCTTGGGTCCTTAGCTGTGGTTAAGTATTTGGGGCCCCTTTTGGTTGACGTTAAAGTGTTTTGATAGATTATGGAATCATCTAAGGATGTACAGATGGTTTCCAGTGTGTTTCTGGGAAGTGCAGACATTTCCAGTAGTATGATAACCACTGTTAAACTTAATGGAACCAACTTTTTAGAGTGGTCCCAATCTGCTAAACTTACCATCACTAGGAGAGGTCAATTGGGATTCATCACAAGAAAGGAGGTGAAGCCAAATTTGGAAGATCCAAAATATGCAAAGTGGGAACAGGATAACTCCCTTGTAATGTCATGGTTGATTTGCTCAATACCACCTCATATTGCCTGAAACTACATGTTTCTTCCAGCGGCCAAAGATATTTGGGATAGAGTTGTTGCCACTTATTCCCAAGTTAACAATACTGCTAGAGTATACTAGCTTCGGAGGGAAGCTTGTAGTATGCGTCAGGGGGAGAGATCTGTGGCTATGTATTTCTCTTCTCTACAGTCTATCTAGGAAGAAATGGATCACCTGAAGACTCTTGTATGGAAGGACCCTGAAGATGGTGAGCAATATCAAAAGTATATAGAGGAGAATAGAGTCTTTGATTTTTTGGCTGACTTGAATCCAGAGTTTGATTTTACCAGGCAACATATTCTTAGTGTCGGCATTGTCACTCTTGCTTCCGCGTACACCCTTGTACAAGGGAAAGAGAGTAGAAGGACAACCATGATGCAACCTCCTATGATTGAACACTCTGCCTTTATGTCATCTCGATCCAAGCAAAATACTAGTAAGCACCATGTTATTGAGAAGACTAAGGAAAAGTGTTGGAAGCTCAATCCTCACTTAAAACTAGAAAAGTACAAAATCGGGAGGAAGGGAAATGCTCACTTGGCTACAGTTGGTAATGATGTTCAACCTTCTAATGTTCATTACTCCTCTGATGTAATGGACAAACTCGGGAATTTACTGTTGCAGTTGGAAAAGGGTGGTACATCCTCCTCATCTGGTTCTGGACTCCATCTAATTCATATGCCAAGACAGGTACTGCACTTGCTTGTTCTACATCTTTTAGTCCTTAGATTGTAGACTCCGGGGCCAGTGCCCATATAAGTTAACCCCAGGGAAGGGCAAGATTACTATTGCTGATGGATCTCAGACCCCTATTTCAGGTTAGGGTTAAGTCAAACTCACTCATAATCTTTCTCTTGAATCGGTTCTTCATGTACCCCAATTACATAAATGTTTGTTATCTGTTAGTTCTCTTACAAAATCCCATAATTGCTCAGTGACCTTTTTTCCTACCCATTGTGTTTTTCAAGACCTGAGCACGGGGAAGATGATTGGAAGTGGGCATGAACCTAATGGAGTCTACCTCTTTGATGGACCTTCAGAGCATGGATTATCAAGCCAGACTAAGTCTTGTTCAAATGAGAAAATGAGTTTCTTGAAATTATGGCATTGTCGTCTTGGTCATATGTCTTTCAATTCTGTAAAACTTTTGTTTCCAAACTTATTTGACTCAATGTCAAAGTTGAACTTTGAATGTGAAGTTTGTCATCTATCAAAACAGTGTAGAACCACATATTTTGCAAGTAGTAAAATAAGTAATGTTGCTTTTCATTTGATTCATACTGATGTTTGGGGCCCATATGCTATCCCTTGCATGGGTGGGTATAAATACTTCATGCTCTTCATTGATGACTACAGTCAGTATACATTGCTCTACTTGATGAAAAGTCGAGATGAAGTTCCTATGGTGGTTCAAAACTTCATGAATATGGTAGAGACATAGTTTGAGAAAAGAGTTAAGATAATAAGATCTGACAATGCCAAGGAATACTTTGAACACCATTTGCATAGATTTCTTGAAGATCGGGGCATTATTCACCAGAGTTCATGTAGTCATACTCTACAACAAAATGGGGTAGTTGAAAGGAAGAATAGACATGTGGTTGAAGTTTCTCAAGGTTTACTATTTCAGACTCATGTTCCCACCCATTTCTAGGGTGATGCTGTTAAGACATCTGTGTATCTCATCAACAGACTTCCTTCAAGGACCCTTAATCTTCAGTCTCCTCATCAACTTCTCTTTCCTAATGAACCTCTTTTCAATTTCCCCCTTAAAATTTTGGATTGTGTTTGTTTTGTTCATGATATAAGTCCTTTCCAACATAAGTTTGATCCTAAATCAGTTAAATGTGTCTTCCTTGGTTACTCTCCTGTCCAGAAAAGCTATAGATGCTTTGGTGCTCTCTCCGGCAAAAGATATGTCTCTAAGGATGTTACCCTTCTAGAGTCCTCCTCCTTTTTCCAGTCATCCCGTTTCTCTTTAGGGGAAGAATGCA